AACATTCATCTTAATACCTGTGAAAGCCAATATCACAATATGGATTTATAACAAAGGGGTTGTGAGTGGTTTCCCCCTGCCCCAGTCGCTGCACTTTCTGTAGGGACACAGAAATGCCCCTGCAATGTGAAATAAAAACAGGGCAGGCTTTGCACGTTGATCTTAATGCCATCAAAATCCAAAACCTTCTGGAGAATTACCTTTGTGCAGCAGTCCTCCAACCCACAATACTGTGATGAGAACAAGAGGGCTATGGGAGAAGTGTGGGCAAGCCAGCTGAGGGCAGAACAGCTTTGGAAGCCTTTCATCCCCTCTCGCCCTGCCACTAATAAGGGACAAACGCTGGAACAAAAGGGTTAAATGCAAGTTGTGTTCAGATAAACAAATCCACGGGAGGCCAGGCAGGTGGAGAGCAGCCAGCACGGATTTGGCACCACAGAGGAGATCTAAAAGGCTCTGAGGCTCATCGTGCACAGGCTGGTTCTTGGCTTCAGCTTCCCCATCCCTGTCCACTTTAAATCAGGAGCAATTGCTGTCATCGAGTTTCTCGTCAGTTGTTGCATAGTGAGGGGTGAATTATGAGTTCTGAGTCTCGGTAAATAAAAATCAAAGAGGAAAGTCTGATAAATGTGCAAGAAAAGGGCAGGAAAGGTCTGGGTCTCTGCCACCAGCTCTATGGGGAGCCATTGACAAGTCCTTGGATATTTTTTTTCCTCCCTCTTTTACCTCTTCCTGCAGAAAACAGAAATAAGGAGTTTTCTGTACTTGGTTTTTAGAACTGGTAACTCAGCATTCTGATAGATCTCTAGGATCTCTAAGAAGTGCTGCAAATAATATCTAATTAACAATGTCAATTAAAGCATTAATTGTAGATTTGCTTCCCAAAGAGTGACACTTACTTAAGTCTGGTCAAAGAGCGAATAGCACAGCCTGTCAATAGACTGGATAAACCATCCTGTGTCCAGGATAACAGCAGCTTCCTCAGGAGTTTATTGACTGATAAGAGTAATTATTGATTTAGTAAATGCTGCTCCAAGATGCTGTTTGGTATCTGCTGTTGTGTCCATATTTCCATAGTTTGGGTTTAGCTACATGTGAGAAGCACAGATGTCATTCAAATAAGTCATAAAGTCATGATATTCGAGATTTTGTTATCATAAAATAATAGAATTATAGAATGGTTTGGGATGGAAAAGATCTTAAAGATCATCCAGTGCCACCTGTGCAGCGCAGGGACGCCTTCCACCATCCCAGGCTGCTCCAAGCCCTGTCCAGCCCAGCCTTGGACACTTCCAGGGAACCAGGGGCAGTCACAGCTGCTCTGGGCACCCTGTGCTGGGGCATCACCACCCTCTGAGTAAAGAATTTCTTCCTAATACCCAACCCAAACCTTCCCACTTTCAGTTTAAAGCCATTCCTCCTCCTCCTGTCACTACATGCTCTTCTCAAAAGTCCCCTGTAAACTTAGCCCTTGAATCAAACCCCTGAAAAATGTGTTCCCAGTGAAAATACAGATGCAAATCATACTTTATTTATTCTTCATTTCTGAGAAAGCAATGCATTTCATTAGGCCATTGTATAATCATATCAATGGGCTTTCTCTTCTTCATCAGTGAAGTCAAACAGGCCAATTTCTCGTTGCTTGTGCCCTAAAGAAAACAAGAAGGCTTGTGGGAAATCCCATGCTGTGAGGGGTCCTGTAGTCCTTCCCCACTCCATCACCGAGAGCAGACTAAATTTACTGAGACCTCTCCAGAGTCTTAAAGGCGCTCAGGTGAAAATATAACCCAGAAAAACCATGTTTTTGAGGTGATATTGTGAAAAGTGAGAGTGACCCTGCTGTGTCTGGCATTCCTTACAACCTTTTAAACGCAAGGTCAGGTCTTGCCCCGCTGAATGTAAACATGTTAAATGTTGTGCACAAAAATCATCCATTGGAATTCCATTTCGTTCTCAGCCATGTGAGGAAACAGCACCAATGACACAGATTTCTGCCAAGGAAAAATACAGAAACTGGCTCTGTGTGAGGGCAGGGCAGCAGCAGCCTGCAGGAATTCAAAGATACGTGGTAGCTGTATGTTCCTTCACGTCCTTTTATGTATATATAAATATATCTATTTGTAAATAAATTCATATATAGAAATAGATCTGTTTATAGATATATTACATACCTGTTTATATGCATATAAAATATATAAATACATCCTGTGTATAAATATGTATATATATAGATATATTTTATTTATATAAATGCATATATTTAAATAATGACATAGAAATACAAAAAATATAGCCATACACCCACAAATATAATTGTATATGTGTTTATTTTATCCCAACACTCAGTAGATGAACTTTGCCTTTTTCTTCTAACTCAGGGCATGAATTTCAATGTAAATCTAATTAACTTCCTGGTATCTTAACCTATTAGTGAAAATTGAGTTGATGAATCAAGCCTAAAAGCCTGTACAGACAAATGTTGTACTGGAACTTTCTTCAGTACATTAATTAGGACTCAGATATATAAATATATGTTAATAAAAGGCTTGTTTGCTCCTACAGATCAGAAAACTAATGTTGTTAGAAAAGTGAATCCCTTCATAAGGTCCAAACACAGGGAAATGTAGTCATAATTTCAGTATATATACAAAAATATTTCTATAACAAGCCTATTTATTTCCAAAAAACTGCATTAATGTGTTTTAACTGTTATTACAGATGTCATGAAATTGAAAATGAACTAAACTCTTATAATTTGACATCAACGAGACTAACTGCTATCTGTATTTAGAATGAAATAATGATAATTTTTATTTCATGCTTTTTAAATTGTGGAGAAAAAATAGGTGAATTCAAAACATTTACATTTAAGAGAAATGTCTTTTTCTAAGCCATCACTGTAAAATGCAGGGTGCCAAGAACATCAGGCATCAATCTACCTCATACTGGCCTGGTCTTTCTCCAGAAAGAATTCTGCACAGTTTTAAGGTCAAATTACTCTACAAATGATAAACTAAAACTGGATTTTTATGAGTCAAAGAGGTTTTTGGGAGGTTTTTTTGCAGCTTTTTCTACCTTGCTTGTGTGGATCAGTGTGAGGCACAGGCTTCTGTGTTAGCTGACCTCACTTAGGGGACAAATTCTGTCACAGCTGCTGGTTTGAGTGGCAGATGCTGTGAAAAGCATCATGAAAGAAGTGATAAAGGAGTTGTGGTTTGCTCTGTGATCCTCTGATAAACCCACAGATAAAAATTCCCCTGCCACAACCTGACATCTGTGCTCTGAATTCAGATTTTACCAACACGTCCTGATTTTAGAAACAAATTCCTAAAACTGAGCTACATGGCTGCTAAAAAACCTGGGGTTTGGTGGATTTAGGAGGAGAAAAGGTCTCTCCAAACTATTCTGCAGAGCCATCCCTGATATTCTGCCAGGGATGTGGAGCACGGCAGCGCTGCAGCAGCATCTGCTGCTTCAGCCCCGTACAGCACCTGAATCACCTTGGCTGGAAAATGTTTTCTCAGAGCACTGGGGACTGCTCTGCAGAGTTTAGAGACCTCCCCAACACCTGCAAACACCGGGAATTAGAGTCACAGAATAGCCTGAGTTGGAATCAGCCATCCATGAGATCATCCAGCTCCTGTCCCTGCACAGAAACCCAGCCTGTGCATCCCTGGGAGCGGTGTCCAGTCGCTCCTGGAGCTCTGGAAGCCTTGGGAATGTCACTGTTCCCTGGAGAGCAGTGCCAGCACCCTCTGGGGGAAGAACCTTTCCCCAAAATCCAGGCTAAATTCTTCCTGTGGAATCCTGGAGGCAGCTGGAGTTGGGCAGAGAGGGATGGAGACCGTGGGTGTTCTCACCTGTGGCTTCCAGTATCAACCAAAGTCCCCAGTGGGAGGGATGTGTAGGACTGATGTTTAATAATCCAGTCAAAGCCACAATACCTGCCTGATGCTTCAGATGAGTTTTCTATACTACCACCATCATTTTCACATTAAAACCACTTTTTTCTGTCTTGAAAGGTACAAAAGCACATCTGAGCTGCTTTGGAGGAGACACAGAGATCAAGGAATTTAAAATTATTATGTGAATTGTAAAATTAAAAAAAAAAAAATATCATTTTATGCTGTGCTGAAAAGCCTCCTGTTATTATTTTATTTCTTTAGATGCTTTCTCCTTTCCCATAGGATCAAAATCAGTCTTTGTTTGGATTTTACTTTTAATAAAACCCTTCTCATACAATTTGATGAAGGTTTTTCCAATTCCCTAATTAACATTTGACCACCAGGGTTAAAAGGGGAACAACCTGAAGCCCTGTGGCCGCTCCAGAGGATGCAGAGCTAAACTGATGTGGACATTTAACCCCCAGGGAAGTGCTGGGAAGGATTTTTCCCTGGTTTCAGGGCTCCCCGAGGCTTCCCTGTGCACGGTGCAGCAGCTCCACTCCCTGGCTCCTCCTGCATCCCCAGAACCCACCCAGGATTCAGGAAAGTCGAATTTCAGCCCAGTTTGGATTAAAAACCGAGCACAGGGGGTTGGGAGGATGGATTTAGCATCACTCCAGCAAGTTATTTTGGAAGAATGAAAGAAAGGGAAAGGGAGATTTCTGGTGTAAACACGAAGTTTTATCACGTTGTGGTAGTTGTGTTTTTAGGATGTTAAGCAGCATGGGTTTGGGTGCAGTGTTTTGGAAATGTGTGAGTCTTTCTTACTTCAAAACTTTCCTCTAAAATAATTTTTTAAAAAGCCACAAAAAAGCTCCTACATCCATTTTCTTATTCTTCCTAGAGCCTGATGAAGTATCATAATAACCAGATATTTAACCATATCATACATCAAACATAAAAACACGGGACCAATACAGAAATAAAGATTTAAACTTGCAGCTCTTCTCTGGGCTCTGCTACATCCGTTCCTTTTATAGGAGTCAAACTTTTATCAAAATTAAATTGCAGCCTATTAACATTATGAATTAATTATTTTCATTCTTCTAATTTCAGGTTGGGAAGTGGATAATTTGGGGCAAACCCATGCAGGTAAGAACCAGTTGTGCTGCCTACATCCTTGGTACTTCTGTTCCCAAAAATTGTGTGCACAGGTTAATTTCAGATTATTAACAAGCTGTCTGTGTATCAGTCATAATGACAGTGATTCCTGTGCTTAACTGTAATACTTGCACAAAAAGTGAAGTGAAAAATCTCATGAGTTTCTATGAACTGGTGTGATTTTACCTAAAGGCACAAAATTAAACTACCTTATTTAAACCAATCAGTTACTGCTCATTGTCATTGATGGATGGAAATAAATTGTCATTAATTCTCTGAAAACTGGTCATATTTAAATACCTGAGGATTATAAATGTAAATTCCTATAGAAATAATATTTGACTTCTATATTTTTACAATAGACTTTGCCCCTGTTTATTGCATGTGTTTTTAGTTCTAAATTTAGAGGTTCAGCTTTGATTTAAACTCTCAAGTAAAGCTGTGTTTACTTCCTGAGAAGACAGCACCAAGTATTTATTGCCTTTGGGCCTGATCTAAACAAATAAAAATCAATTGCACTCCATTCACTGATTTCCACAGAGATCAGTTTGGGCTCTAATAGAAAACACAATCAAAATAATTTCATACCCAATTTCCACTTTTCTAGGTGATTATGACCTGCTGGAAAGCACAGCTCAGTCTCTCCTAGGTAAGAAACAGAACCATGGAAATTTTTGTCTCTCTTTTAATTTATCTCTGTTAAAAAGGAAGCTCTCAGATTTTTTATTTTTTTTCCCTGCAATTTTGGTATTATTCTCTAATTAGTTCTAATTGTTATGACTTTTTCTGCTCTGTTAATTTTAACAATATTATGAAAATTTATTCCTCCTCTGTTAATCCTTGCAATCTAAGAAGTGTGCTGCTATAAATTACATCTACCTGTTTAACATTAATTACTAAATGGTGCTAAAGGAAGTCAGCACCATGATTCAGTGCTTTTTTTCCACAGAAAACTAGGGATGAATGTACAAGAGTAATTTAACAAAATTTGCTGAGTAATGCAATATTCCTAAATGAATGGTGTGATTAAAGAGAGATATTCTGCTGCATGGATGGCAAACAGATTCTCTTAATAAGGTTAAAAATAAGGTTATGAGAGACTAAACTGCTGTAAGAATGCAAAGCAGTGCAATTTAATAGCAAAAAGCAAACCCAAAACTTGGAAATTTCCATCAGTTTTGGTCCAGGTACAACTGAAACTCCAAAAAGTGTGATCATTTGATAATTAGAGCCTGTTTCTTTGTGCTGGGGAGGAAGAAAAGCAGCAGCAGCCCATCCCTAATTTTTTAGGAAAGCCACTGAGCTTTGGGAAGAATGATGGGAAGAATAATGGTGCTTCAAAAGAGCCCCACAGGGGCTGTCCCACCTCAGGCAGCTTTGTAGGTAAAAGAGTTTCAGGAGATTCTTCCTTTTCTGCCCCAACTCTTCATTCCCAGTATGGTTTTAAAGCCTAAATGTGTCAGTGAAATCATTTAGGAGCTGGTTCTTATATGAGATTAGCCAAAAAATTATGGTATTTAAGCCAATATTTGCTTAAAATTAAGGTTGTAAACCAGGATTGGAATAATTAATAGACAGAGGAACGTGAGAAGCTCTGAATTCACCAACTGAGGCCACCCTGGGCATCTGGAGGTGGAAAAGAGCACATTGCCATGAAAACAGGGATGGGGAAGAGATTCCCAGTCCATGTTCCTTTGTTTTCTGCAAACCCTTCCCACAAAGTCCCACTCCAAGTGCAGAGCCCTGGACTTGGAGATAAATGAGTGGGATGTGTGCTCTCTGCCTACAGGGGAGCAATGCAGCTGCCTCTCCATGGATAAGTAATGGCTATCTGAGATATCCCACAGTATCCTGCCTGCCTTCCAGCACCTGGACCAAAAAAATCATGTTATTGTGGTGTTTTCTCACCAGTCTCATGCATGTGCATCAGACATAAACCATTATTTTGTGATATTTTTATCACAAAGGGCCTTTTTTTAAGCACTGGACTTGCCCTTTGGCCACATGGAGTGGAGATATTTTCATCAAAGCTGTACTCCCAAGATGCCTTTTTGAAAGAAATGGACATTCAGCTGATCCCTGGTTTAGGAACCATTTGGGAATGAGATTTTTAGTGGCCTGGAGACACTGAATGTGCTGATAAAATCTTTTTGCTCTCTGGTGACCAGCTGTAGAAATAGCCATCCATAGGTGGCTGTTGTAGGACTGGATCATTAACGACCTTATTAAATTTCCAGAATTAAATCTATGGATAGGCAGATAAACAGTGCTTCCAGCAGAACCAGGGGGAGGGAAGGGACGTCCTGGGTTTTTTTCTTGGGATGTCACATTCCCACCTGCCCTTGGCACAGGGGACATCAGCAGGAATTGCACTGAAGATGGCTGGTCTGAACCTTTCCCTCATTATTATGATGCCTGCGGCTTCGATGAGAACGAAACAGAGTCTGATAACCAGGTGGGAATTAATCTCATAATTAAAAACAAATGAAGGGGGGAGGGGGGAAGCAGCAGACTGCTTTCTGTCCAGCCTCTGGTCATGTTCTGATAGTGATTAGAACGAACAATCAGATGTACATGGGTATAAAACTGGGAGAAGTGAGATCTGAGTCCTTCCTGGGCCTGTATTGAGTATTTATAGAAGATGAGCTCTCAGTGTTGATGTAGTTTGGAATTTCTAGAATTGCTCAATTCTACCCCTGTGGGTAAAGAATCTCTTGGCCAGCTGGGTTTTGTTCTACAGATGTAGTAACGCATCTGAACAACTCGGGCCATGATGTGCTCCAGGCAAACCGTATTTAGAGTTTATTATCAGACCCTCTAGAATTTCTCAAGGTTGATGAGACATAAGCTATTCTAAAAATAAGAAAGAGGCTAAAAAACAAGATAACAGGACCACAAGAGCCAGATAACAGAGGGTGGTTGAACACCTGGACTGTAGCCAATCCTGTGCCCTGAGGAGTGCGTGGACAGGAGAGGGGCACTAATGAAAAGATCATGTGAACAACAGTTTTAGAATGTATAAATAAGTGTATAATGTAAACAATGAGTGGCTGCTGTGAAATCATATTGGTCCCTTATCCGGAGGTCGTGAGCTCCTGCATAGAGATACTTACAAAAAATAAATGTATGGATAGGCTTTGTTAGGCCCAGCCACAGAGCAGAGCTTGATGTACAGTGAGATCTCAGAGGAAGTGAGGAGAAACCAGGCTGTCCAAGAGACAAACCCTGCCTCTGGTTCCCCAGCAGGCTGTCCAAGAGACAAACCCTGCCTCTGGTTCCCCAGCAGGCTGGCAGGTGTGTGGCTGCTGATGAACCCTTTAACCCTGTGGTTTTTGCCTCCCAAGGATTACTACTATCTCTCGGTGAAGGCGCTGTACACGGTGGGATACAGCACCTCCCTGGTTTCCCTCACCACTGCCATGGTCATCCTGTGTCGCTTCAGGTGAGTGGGGGCACGAGCAGGGAGCTGTCCGGTCCATGGAGGAAGGAAGCTGGAGCTCAGCTGCCCCAAACAGAGTTAAAGGTTTTGTCTCACCAAAGGTAGAATAAGAAGGGGGAAATCCTTTAGCTGAGTTGTTTCCCCAGCATGGACACACTCCAGAAGTCACATTTCAGCCAAGTGTAAATGCAGCAGGACAAGCTGTGGGTCTGGTTTATGAAACTTCACAAGCTGCATTGGGATTGTTCTGTTGCCTATTTTATGTTTCTCTGCATCCTTTTTGCAAGAAAATCCCCACATCCTCCTCTTTCTCAGGTTTAGGGTCAGTACTAACACTGTTTTGGCTTAGATGTTGCTATTCTTAGCACCAAGGTGCTCTGGTCAAGTGTGTCCAGGCCCAGTGTGACATTTCTATGAAATAAAACTGTTTTCTTCTACATTTCTCTTTTTTTCCCCCCCTCCCTTCCTCTTTCCTCTCCAGAAAGCTTCACTGCACTCGGAATTTCATCCACATGAACCTTTTTGTCTCATTCATCCTCCGTGCAATATCTGTGTTCATTAAGGATGGGGTTCTTTATGCTGAGCAGGATGGAAACCACTGTTTTATCTCCACGGTGAGTCAAACTGAAACCAAATCCTTCTCCTTTACATTTCTTCAGCAGAAGACAACAAAAAGCAGTGGGGCAAGCTGCAAGCTGTGGAGTATCATGAGCCAAGAAGTTATTAGGGGGAAAGGTGGTTGGTGTTTAACTTCTCTCCCAGTTCACAGCCAGACTGGGTGTTTCATCTCGTGATGCCACCAGTGTCCTTCAAAACAAACCCACAGGTTTTATTTTCTGCCCTGATTGTTCCTCCCTCTCCCAGATCTGCTCAGTGGTCGGTGGGATGAGAGCAGACACAAGAAATTTCCTTCCTCTGAAGGTCTGGTTTTTCTCCAGAGCCTCATTTGTTCTGGATGTCAGGCAGAGTCATGTGTAAACAGGGTGACCATTCAGACACAGAATGCACCTGATGGTCACAGTCTCAGAAAATCATCAGCATTTCCCACCTCTTTGTCTCTAAAATATGTAGTTTCATGCAGAGTGCTCTTTCACTGATGCATTTAGCGTTTATTATGTGTAATTCCCAATTCCTTTCATATTTAAGGCTAGTATTTGTTATAAATCAGCTCACTGGGTGTAATTATGATAGAATTACAAACTGAGCTCTCCTTTATCTATCCAGTTATGAGCTAAATTCCCTGTGAGTCACTTCCACAAGGCAAGTGCAGCTGTGTAGTTTCTTAGTCAGCCTTTTCTTTGTCATTGCAACTAGTTTTTGCTCTCAGTTCTTCTCCACAAGAAAGCTGAAGCCATGTCAGGTCTGTAGTTTCTTCCTGCCGCTCTTCAAATGGTGGCATCTTCCTCTTTGTTTGGAAACACTTAAAGCACAAAAATAATTTAAAATCAGCCATTTCATGACCAGATCCACAGCCTGGGTAGAGCTTCCATGAAGAAACTCGAGATCTGAAGGTTTAAACACCTTAATGGTAGATTTGGCCCAGAGGATGAAGTCAAAGTGGGAGATAATCACTGCCTCCAGCAGGAGCTTCCATTTAATACACAGAATCTGCTCGGATTTGTTGGAAAATCCTACGTTTGTAGGACTAATTGTGTCTCACTAGGGCACAGCAATGGCAAGACCAGTGTATCCTATTCTCACAGGGCAGAGCTTGCCACATTAGGTCTTAGTCACAGAGTCATTTGGGGTGAAAAAAACCTCTAAAATTGAGTCCAACTGTTCCCAAGCACCACCAAATCCACCACTAAGCCACATTTCCACATCTTTTAAACACCTCCTCGCAGGGTCACTCCACCACTGGCCTGGACACTGTTCCAGTGATTGATGACCCTCTCAGGAAAGAAATTTTCCTTCATATCCAAGTTAATCGTCCCCTGATGCAATTTAAGCCAATTTCCTCTTGTCCTAGGATTTGTTACCTGGGAGAAGAGACTGACCTTGTTACCACCTCCTGCCAGGGAGTTGTAGAGAGCAATATTGTACTCCCCGAGTCCCCTTTTCTCAAGCCTAAACAAAATCACTTCCTTTTCAAGCAATTCCTATATTTTATTTTAATTTAATTTCTAGTTTACATTTTTCTTTAGTTTGCTCCTTCCCCCTCCTGCCCATGAATGAAAGCTACCATTATTTTTTTACATCTGATCACTCACATTTCCTCACATTTACCTCCATTTTCTGTCCTTGAGTGACAACACTGATGATGGATGGCAAGGAAGTGCAATTCCCAGCTGCACACAGGAGGGTTCATCCTTTCAGCTCCCGCTCTCAGGGCTTTTCACAGCCATCCTGCCATTTCACATCCTTCTCTGGGTTTCTCGGTACACAGCTGGATCCTTTTCTTCCCTGCATTTAATCCTGGAAGGGGGCCAAGTCCAGCAATCGGTGCTCACAGGGGCTGTGAGCCCTCAGCAATACAGATTATGCTCAAGCTGCTCTGAAATCCTCCTTGACCACTTCCCACTGGTAAAATTGGCTTCTTCCCCATGCAGGCTTTGCTGTCTAAGTGATACCTGACATTCTTCACATTCATTAAAACCTTCACCATAAAAAGTGTGCGAAACCAGCCCCAGCTCTTCCCACTGAGAGATCTGGAGAGGTTGAAAACGTTTAATTCTGTTAGGCCGAAGCAGTGGGGAAATAACTTGGTTCTTCTCGATCCTCTGCAGGTGGAATGCAAAGCAGTGATGGTGTTTTTTCACTACTGTGTCATGTCCAACTACTTCTGGCTGTTCATCGAGGGGTTGTACCTCTTCACCTTGTTGGTGGAAACCTTCTTCCCGGAGAGGAGATATTTCTACTGGTACACGATCATCGGCTGGGGTACGTGGCCCTTCCTGGTCTCAAACGTGTCTTGCTGTGTGTAACTTCTTCTAAAAAATTCTTTTTCATTTCTTTTTTCTCTTCTTTGATTCTGCTGTACTTCTTCTGTACTTTTTTATCCACTCCTGGATTTCTCTGTCTCCTCTGAGCTGAGCTCCTTGGGGATATTCCCTCACGGGGAATCCCATTTATCACAGTCCTCCAGGTCAAGACAAAAACTCCAAAGCCTTTTAGGATCTTGTTTCTCATGTTTATTAGGATGTTATCACAAAACTTGGCAGGTCTCTCCAGACTTTCTGCACAAGTTTAATTCACTGCAATCTGGCTCATTTTCTTCTGATGGTACAGTATGGCCTTGTGGCTCACTTTGTGTTTGAAAGCACAAAATGGCCCCGAACTATGTGATTCTTTTATCTTTACACTCATTCTTATCCAATTAACCATAGACACGTATATTATTTTCCTTAATGACCCAATGACCCATCACCTGTGTGCTGCACTGTGGACTTTTCTAACCAATCACTCATTATTACCCAAAAACCTCTTGAAGAAGAAGAACGTGAAGAAGAAAGAAGGAAAAGAGACAACACCGTAAATCCTCCGTCTTGTTTTCTGTTCTCTAAACTTAAACTGTAAACTAACTTTTTCACCCAGTGACTTAAGAAAATGCTCTGATCTACACACTCACACTTTCAGCTTTTCTATCTAACTTTAACAGTTGTTTTCATGTATCACCATGGAAACATACTCATGAATTTCATGTTATATGAAATTCAGTGTTCTCCTGGATGTCAGAGCCAGGCATCAGAGACAAGGGCACACACTCTGTGTCTCAGACTCCAACACTGTGCAGGATGACTCCACAAACCATGCATGGTTTATCCACACCAGGTTTTTTTTATTATATTATTATATATTACTATTATTATATATTACTATTATTATATGTTACTATTACTACAATATTACTATTATTATAATTAATTATACTCTACATTAATTTAAATATTTTAATTAATTAATTAATTAATGTATGTATGTTAATAATAATAATTAATGATTATTAATTAAACTATAATTTTAGTCTTGGGGCAGAAGTACCGCTGCAGGCCAAACTGTGCTGTGATTTTGTGTGTGAACAGAGTTGCACTGAAATCCAGAGGACATCTCTTGCAGAGGTGTAATCTACAACAGAAAATTGCCTCCTACAAGATAAGATCTTAACATCAACTTCTTCAGCTTAATCAAATCTGCGAGGCTAAGTCCAGTCCATTTTCTTAGGCTTCATTTGTGCCTTTCTCCCAGATAATAATTAAATTGGAAATGTATCCAAAGGATATTCACATCTGCTTGTCCTACTTGAATGGGAAATAAAAACTTGCACTGGGAAGAAACAAGATTTATTTCAGAAAAGCCAGTTAAATGGTGATAGCCATGGCAATTATTTTTCATTCTGGCCTTCTGGATATAAATTGATTCCTGTGATATGTTAATGCAAGCAATTCTTTGCAGAGGTTTTTGTGCAGAAGTCAGATGGTGAATGCAGAAGAATACAGTAATTTAAAATGTTCCCTGAAAGGTTAAACTTGATTTTTATATTTATAGACACTTCTGAAATAATCCTGTATATTCATATGTAAAGTCTACACACAAACCCCATGATTTAAACTACTCTCCTTTGAAAAAACATCCTTAGGTAGCCTGAACCTTCAAGAAATCAACAGATAATTTTGGTTTTTCCCTCCTGAAGCAGCTGCACACGAACCAAAATTTTCATCTCCTCTGGCAAAGCCTCCCTACAGTAGGGAGAAAAAATGTTTCTAGAAGATACAGAGGTAGAAAAGGTATAAAAGAGAAAGAAGTGAACAAATAACCATAAACAATCTGTGTCGTAAAAAGGCTGTTGGAAATGGATGGTTACTGGAAAAGGCTTTTGGAAAGGAAACTGTTGGAAAGGGTGCTCAGGGTTCCTTTTGAACCACACAGACGTATAATCACATTATAGCTGAGATAAAAGTGGGCTTCCAAGAAGAAATTGGGGTTTATGTACATGAAAATCTGATCTTTTTTTTAGAAAAAAAAGCAATGCAAAATTACAAATTGTAAAATCTTTGTAATCTGAACATAAATCAGAGGTTGAGTTCCTTTAATTAAGTTTGCAAAATTTTCATATCTGTAGATTTGTCTGGATGTGAGAATACTGAAAACGAGCAGGTAGTAACTGACTTCAATATTTTTTAATCAGTCCTTGTAATGAATGAACTAGACAGATGGATTCATTCTGTAATGTAACCTCAAAATATTTAGTTTTCAGCTGTGTTCAATTTATAGACTTCATAGAACTCCAGAATGGTTTGGGTTTGAAGGGACATTAAGGATCATCCATTCTACCCCCTGCCATGGGCAGGGACACCTCCCACTATCCCAAGCTTCTCCAAGCTCCATCCAGCCTGGCCTTGGGCACTTCCAGGGATCCAGGGGCAGCCACAGCTTCTCTGAGAATTCCATCACAGCCTCTCACCACCCTCCCAGCCAGGAATTCCATCCCAATATCCCATCCATCCCTGCCCTCTGGCAGTGGGAGCCATTCCCTGTGTCCTGTCCCTCCATCCCTTGTCCCCAGTTCCTCTCCAGCTCTCCTGGAGCCCCTTCAGGCCCTGCAAGGGGCTCTGAGCTTTCCCTGGATCCTTCTCCAGGTGAACATTCCCAGCTCTCCCAGCCTGGCTCCAGAGCAGAGGGGCTCCAGCCCTTGGAGCAGCTCTGTGGCCTCCTCTGGATTCATTTCATCAGCTCCATGTCCAGCTTGTGTTGGTGGGAACAACTCTCAGATCACTTCAGATTCAAAACAGCATCAATAATATCCATTAAAATCTCTCCAGATTTGGATGGTTTTTGTTTATTTGGTTATTATTTTCTCATCTCCAGCATGTTTCAGCTGGACTCGCAGTTCCCCTGACTTGGTGGGAGCAACTGGCGATTTGCAAAGCCAACAGAGCCACTTCCAGACTCTGGATTCAATCCCTGGAGGAACAAAAGCTCGGGGCTGGTGGGGAGGGAGCTGCAGTGAGGCAGAGGGAAACAAGAGCTCAGCACTTTGCAGCATCTGGATGTTGATCTGTTCCTTCAAATGTGCTGAGACCTCGGCGTCCTCACCTGTGGGGATTCATCAGAGCCACACACGGCTCTGTTGATCCAGGCAGTTCTTTCCTCCCAAACCTGCAATGTGCTGGTGAATTCTCTGGATGCACTGCTGCCTTCCTGAGCTGCCAATGCCTGCTCCCAACTCAGGGCAGCACAAGTCAGCAGGAATAAATCTCAGCCTTCAGGGCTTGTCTGTTTTCTAATGTTCCTCAGAAGCTGAAAAGGAGGTGATGGAGAGATATAAATCTTTTGATGTAGAGAGAAGTGGTGTGAGTATATGTACATTCATAGGGCAGATGGTTCAAAACTCCAAGCTGATCTGAAATGTGGGGCTTTAAAATGTACTTTTATGACACATTTAGTTCTAATTCTGCCTTCCTGCACATTTTACAGATTTGGAACACTATTCATAGCAGCAAAATTTATATAGAGGAAACTAAATACATGAGACCCCTCTTTTATGGAATCATATAACGATTTGGATTGGAAGAGACCTTAAAATTCATCTCATTCCCAACCCCCTTCCCTGGGCACTTTCCACCATCCCCCTTTGTTCCAAGCCTCACCCAGCCCAACCTTGGACACTTCCAAGGATGGGACATTCACTACTTCCCTGGACAAATATTTGGTACTTCAAGGTTAGTTTGATAAAATTAAAATTAAAGTTTGATATTAAAAAATTAATTTTAACTCTTTTAAGGGCAAAAAGGGTTTTCTCTATGTATTCACCTGTGAGAAAAGCAGACTTCAACTGAAATTAAATATGCATGACTTCTTCTCCCCAAAGCCTGTCATTTCATCTCTTTATGTCATTTTCCTTTCAAATTGTTCTCTGTGTGGTTGTTTAAAGGAGGAGGGCTCCATCAGTCACCCAGGTCTAACAGGGATATTTTTATTCCTGAAGGTGGGAATATGATTAGACAGAGACTCGTCTAAGTGGGTTCAAACGACTGACTAATTAATGTGACATCAACACAGCCTTGCAAAATGTATTAAATATAATTGTTCCTGTCAACTCACCACAGTCTTGTTCACTGCTGGGAGCTGGGGTTATCAAGGTCCTTTTTTGTTTGCTTTTTAGCACTTTATTTTTCCAGTCGTGCCTGAACAGATGTCAGCAGTTTCTAGTCAAAGATTTTATTTACCATACAGGGGAGATCCAACTTACCCAGGGTTGTCTTGCATAAATGAATTATTTTATAAAAACATTTCCACTGAAAAAAAAATAAAAAAATCACACTTCTAGGGTTTTCAGAAAGGAAAATAAATTCAGGTTTTTCAATGGGTTCTTGTTGTTTTAATTAAATTTACATTTTGTATGCATTTTTTGAAAGTGAAGAAATGTCTGAAATGGGAATTAAATCCTTACTCCAATATTCTCTTTTTGGAATCTGTTGTTTTGTTTTGGTATTTTCTTAATGAAAAAAATTGTGAGCAGAGGAAACTTCTCGTCTGTGGATTTGTTTTGGTTGAATAAGTAAGGAAAAACTGGTTATTTACACAGTAACAGAGAAAATGCAACATATGCAAATCATTTACAACAAAACCACAGAAAAATACACAGACTCCAATAGTGCCATTCCAGCTCAACATCTGGCACTGCAATTCTTGCATGATTCCAGTAGCTCTAGACACGGATGTGGTTGATTCTCTTCTGTCCAGACATTGTTTTATCCTTCATGCAACAAGATGCAGTAAAACACTGAGCAATAATGACCTGGCACAGCATCATCCTTCCCTGGTACCAGTTTTTCTGCTACAGTCCCACCCCTGACTGAGAGGGATGTTTCTGGAGCTCTGAATTAACTCAATAAATTGCATTACCCCACGCACAAGTGCTGTTAGGAGACAAAAGCTCAGTGGAGAGGTTGCATAAGTGCTCCTTGCTGAACATCAAGAGTGTCTGGACTGTTAATGTGTCACTCTCTTGTCCTCTGCAGGTACCCCAACAATCTGTGTCACTGTCTGGGCAGTGCTGAGGCTTCACTTCGATGACACTGGGTAGGTGTTGCTGGGTGGGAAATGATTCCAGCTGCATCCAGCACTGTGGCAAGGGTGCAACAGGAATGTGGTGATTGGAGGGCACAGAACCACAGAGTGAAAGAATCCTTTAGGTTGGGAAAGAGCTCCAAGGTCACTGAGTCCAACCTGTGGCTGATCCCCACCGTGTCACGCAGCCCTGAGCACTGAGTGCCACATCCAACAACAGAATTTCAGTCACAGGATCACTGGGTTGGGAGAGACCTCCAGGATCATCGAGTCCAACCCAGCCCTAACACCTCAAACAGACCATGGCACCGAGTGCCACGTCCAGTCTTTTGTTAAACACATCCAGGGATGGTGACTCCACCACCTTCCCAGGCAGAATGTAAAATTATGCTTTAATTTTGCTGAATACTGGAGATATCTGGATGCAAAATTTCCACAAAACTCATTGTTCTGTCAGGTTTGCTCCATCCTAGTTCTTTCAGACTCTCTCTGGAAAGCAAATAAAGCCTTTCCTCCACTGGGAATGCCAGTGCTGTGACCCAATGTTCTATTTTGACATTAAGACAAATTAAATAATTTACTTCCATGCAAAACAAGCCAGAAACCCCTGTTGTGTCATTATTAGGATTACAGCACCAGCTCTGAAAGCTCTAATTTCTCTTACAAGTCCATTCAGCCCTTGCAGTTTGCAGGTAGGGAGAATGTCTCGCAGAAGGAAAAATAAGAAATTAAAAATATAAAAAAAAACCCCAGCCAAAAACATTCCTTTTATTTAGAGAAACTATTTAGCATGCAAGATATTTAGACAGGTTCTGTCTGAGAGTCTCAGTGGTTACTTTTTAAAAATCAGCAAGCATTGTTCTGGGAGTGGGGGAGAAGCCAGCGTGAGCCTGAAAACCTTGTGGAAATTACTGAACTGGAAAGCCACAGTGGCAAGGGTTGGAAATACAGGCTCAGAGCCTGAGTCCCCTCCTGCCTGATCCTTATAAAACTGGCAGAGCTCCCTCAACTTCAGCTCCTGACTCCCATCCCTGCAAGTGACAGGACTGAGGAGATAAATTCAGCTCTCTGTTGATCCAGAGCTCTGCTCCTGATTTAAGTGGAGTTATTCCAGGTGTGCACCCAAGATCCGACTCTGGCCTCTGCAAATGGAAATCACATCCCTTCCCCAGCCCCCTGGCTCCCTTCCCTTCATCCATCCTGGAAAAGAATAATTTCCTTTCATCCTGCCTGTCTGACCTGCACTGTAGGGGAGCATTTGACAGAAATTAGGGAGCTTCTTTACATAGTACAGAAAATTCCAAACATTCTGTTGTGCATTCCCACTACTTTATCTGAGGAGGAGATGGTGGTTCCTTCCCCCACATTAATCCTGTAGGTGCCACAGGGACTGGACATCCTTGAAAGTCCTTGAAAAAAAACCTGTGTGAGCTTGATCAAATTCATTGTTGACACCTGCAAGGTGGAAGTTTGGAATGGAGCTCACTGGGGACATGCCTTGTAAAAACAGAGTGGTCTAAGTAGAATAAAAGGTCTAAGAAGAGGGGAAGAAAAAAGCAGAGAGGTCTAAGAATAAGAATTTGTAGGGGATACATGTGTAGAGCACACATTTAAAATAGCTCAGTGTGAGAAAAACAAACCCAAAACAAGCTCCAAGGCTCTCTTTGTCCCAGCCACATTCAGGGATAATTAACTTGGCTGTTGATCTCTACAATCCAGGTAACTGCAATCACAGGTGGATTCCTGTCCCTGTGATTCCTGATTCCTACACAGACAAATTGCCATACATCAATATCTATTTGTACAACTAAATTAATATGAGAGTTTGTCCAGATTCTTCCAATATTGGTCAACTCACTAAAGACTTTCACGGCAGATTCAATGTCCATCATAAGGAGGTGGAGCTCTGCAAATAATGGGTAATTTTCAGTAGACAGCACCTAATTTATAAATGTATACAAAGAATTGAAAAGATAATTGGTGATTTTAGGTCCATACCACTGTTGATCACTGACAAAAGCCTGATTTCCAGACTGTGGGTGAAGGGTTCCTTCTGAGCATTTATCCCCTTTCAAATATTTTAATTTGGGCATTCAAAGTGAGGAAACTAAGAAATATTAATTTGCACTTGAAAATCTCAGTCATCAGCCCTTTAGATTTCGGGTGATTTCAGGTTTCCATGCTGTGCAAACAGATGCAAAACTACATAATTTTGTGTAAATTTGACAAACCACTATCTAAATTTTCTCAATTCTCACCTGCTGCACCACACACATCTTTATTCTTGGTTTTATGGGAATGCAGTAAATTATCGTTCATCTGAAATGAATAAATGTTGTTCAGCTGAAAATAAGGAATATTGCTCAAATGAAAACCTAAATTAACTGACATTTCTAAACCAGGCATCACTTAGCCATTTGGGATTTCTCTCAGACACACTTTGATGATGGGATTTTGGCCCTTCCTCCTCACTTTTACACATATATATAGTTTTGTTTAAAGATTTTCACTTTTCCCCCAGATGCTACCACACAACCATTTAAGTGACACCCAAGTTGCATTAACTCTCACGAGACCAGCAGTGTTTTATTGCTTGATGTTCTTCCCAATTGTTTTTTTTTGGCATTTGACAAATGCACCATGACAGCCTCTGCTGGGACTTTGGCTCTTTTCCCAGTGGGAAGCAAAAATTCCTTCTCAGAACTGCAGGTACAAAGTAGACAGATTTCTGTGATTTTATACTTCCTACGGAGAAAATCAGGGAAAGAAAGTGGAGACAAATGAAAGAAAAAATTTTATCTGGAAGATTCTCTATGACTTAAAATAGTCATGAAGACATTTCTCAGTAATAAATAGTAGTCATTATAATAGTGTAACAGGGACTGGAAAATAAGATTCTTTTCATTATTATTGGTTTTATAGCTCAAAAAATGTATGTTAACATTAAAACCCTCTATGAATATAAGTCATATATTTGAATGTCCAAGTGCACCTGTGTGAAATAAACTTCTGCATAATCCTTTGGTGATTTCAGAGGAAGATTTTAAACTCTGGGGTAGAAATGTCATTTTATTTATGATTACTCACTAGCAACAGCTTAACAAAGGAGCTGACTCTAACTGTTGCCCAGTATTTGGTCCTTCTCAAATGAATCCTGAATAGGACTTGCAAGCTAATCACTGGAAAATTATTCCTATATGTGAATACATCCAGGATCCTGGTGTGCTGAAAATGTGTAAAATTCCTTGTGTCAGGGTCAGAAACCCACATTCATATCTGTTAACCCTGGAAAAATAAGTGAGACATGAAACTTTGGAATAATGTTCAGAAAACCCCATCCTTTGAAGTACCTCTCTTTTTTCTTTTTTTTCTTTTTTTTTTTTTTTTTAAGGGTCAACTTTACAATTTTATTATAGAGACAGAAACACACTTAAAGGGCTTTTCCAAAATATCTAACCTGTTTAATAGGAAGTACCATTGAAACAGCCACAAAAATACTTATTTTACTTCCAAATGATTGTGGAAAAACTGTAAAAGAAAGATGCAATAAGCCAAACTAAAGAAGTATCACTTTGAACTCTAAATAATTTAGGTTTGAAACCAGTCTCCCACATTCTGCCCCCTTAAAAACAGTTGAAAGTTCATCAATTTCATTGTTATGTCTTGTTTTTTTCCCCCTTCTCTTTCCCCATCCCACTCTTTCCTTACCAACTGCAGCTGCTGGGACATGAATGACAACACTGCCTTGTGGTGGGTGATCAAGGGCCCCGTGGTTGGGTCAATAATGGTGAGTAGCACCTGGAGAAGACACTTCCTTCTCTCTCCTGAGGGCAAAAAACCAATTTAAACATCTTCTAATACTTTACAAGCTGTGCAGCATCCCTGTTTTTGGACTGGTGGAAAAATTCTCTAAATTTCCATCGTTTGCCACCCACAAAGCCAAGGAATTTCATTATTAAGAGGGATTAATACAAATTAAACAATGGAGCACTGCCTGCAAGCAAAAGAGTTATTCAGATGCTTAAAACACAGACACAAGCACCAGAATTAAAACTCCAGAGCACGTGGAACATTTGTCTGGGGCTGGCAGAGGTGTCATGGGATGTATGGAAAATCTGGGCCAACTGGGGTGGCAGCTGAAGGCCAAGTGGGGCAATCCAGGGCATCTAAAACAACAGTAAATGTCAGGGATCAGGGAAATGCACCCTGTTTAACTTCACAGCTACATTAATTTATCCCAGATTTAAAATAGCACTTGGTCATAGTGCTGGATGCTAAATTGTCAGCAAGGTGTCTGAGCTCTAATTGGTGGAACTCTTGGATTTAGCTCAAATTTTGTCAGATGCCTGCACATGGAGGACTGAGAGCTTCTAAAGTGCCCTGTTTGGGTTTCACAGGATGGCTAAAATTGGAAAAGATCACTGGAAGTCATTTAGTCCAACCTCCCTGTTTCAGTAGGATCCCCTAGAACATATAATTCAGGATTATATACAGATGGATTTTGAATAGCTGAAGAGAAGGAGATATTCTGGTGCTCCAAATAATATGAGGGTTTTAAAATGCTGTTGGGCTCCTGCATTTAGGAAAACAAATTGAAGCCCTGGACAACATGGTCAGTGGCAACTGAAAATCTTTTGGGCTTGCCACACGCAAGTGTCTCATTCTGGGCACCCTAAGTTGTTCTCCACTCTCCATGGAGAGAATTAAGGAGGTTTAGAGTGACTTTTGTAGGAATTCAGACTTCCAGCTCACAGGTAACCAATAAAGCAGGGGTTTATCAGGTTTGGTGCTTCTCCTTTGAAATCTTTGGACAGCTCTGTAAAGCTCAGGAATTCTTAGTTAAATGAAAGGAAATTCAGACAATTTCAGCACCAAAACAGAGGGGGTTCAATGATCCAAGGTTTTTGTCCATGTGTGAATTTCTGTGAATTTTCCTCATGCTTTACAGGCACATTCTATGAAGGATCATGTTCTGCTCGGGGGATCAGTTAAACCTGGTTTCTTTCAAAGGCATTAAAGGAACAAGCATAAAGCAAGGGACTATTGGGCTTCTCCATCCCTTTGTAGTTCTCAGATCAGACAGAAACTGCTGGAAAAATCCTCATGTTCAGTTTCTGCTCTTCCTAAAGGAGTATAAGGTTTTGTAATGGACCAACTTAAATTTCCACTCTCCTGGCTTTAAGAAACAATGGACTTGTTGGCCAAAGCTCAAGTCAAAGCACTGAAATAAACTAATTTTATCATTCTCCAAGGTTTAAAACCAATGGAAACTGTTAAATTGAGACATCCATTGGTCAGAGAATGGGAGTGAAAAATGATTTTACCCTCAAGGTCTTTATTTTATGTATTTTTTGTGCAGGGATCTTTCTGTTTACTCTGCACAGGTTGATAATGAAAAATGTTGAAACTTTTCCATTTATGTTTCTCTTGTCTTGAAACTGCAGAAATTTTGTCTCATTTTAGCTGCATCTAGGCACATAAGACCCTTGTGAACTTTCCCCATTAATCCTGACCCTATAGAACTTTTAGATTGGTTTGGAGAAGAAAAAGGGGATGAAACCAGAAAGTCAGTGGGAATGTCTCATTTTCATACTTTTTAAAACTATGCAATTGTCACAAATTTTTCCATTTTTTTTTCTTTCCCCCAGATAAATTTTGTGCTTTTTATTGGCATAATTGTGATACTTGTGCAGAAACTCCAGTCACCTGATATCGGGGGCAATGAATCCAGCATTTACTTGTAAGTACAAATAAAGCAGTAATCAGTTTAAATTACTGATATACACATAGGAAAAACCCACAGAATAAACAAGAAACCTCAGCTGAATTAGGCTGATTTTTGAAAAGAATTGCAAAGTCTATTAAATTAAAAATTTGATTTTTACTTTAATTTTTCAGTCCATCAGCCATGAAAGTGTATTGTAATGCCAGCTTTCAGCTTTCTTTAAAAGGCCTATAAAATAAGAAGAAATACAAGATTAAAAACAAAACCCAAACAAAATCTAATGTTTTTCCACGTCAATTATCTCAAAATTAACCTATTGACCAGGTATAAATACTGTTCTTCTACTCATGGGATGGTTTGCTGTGCTTCATAAATTCCAGGGCATGGTTCAAAGTTCACTGAAATCAATGAGATTGGGTGAAAAGTTTCAATTAACTGTTGGCTGAATTATAGTGCAGGAAGATCCCCAAGACATGCTTAGGTCCATGTTTCTTGTAAACTGAATTGCATTGCACTAAAGCCAAACATTTCACACACACCCCCTTAAAATTGTTTAAAAATGCACACAAATCCTAAAATTTCCCTCTAGATGCTTGTAGCTTTGTAGTGATTTATATGTATTTTTAATCTGGAACTCTTTTTATTAGTTTCCACTTCATAATAGTGCAGAGGTTGGCCAGTTGAGGTGGTTATCATTAACATTTTGACTGCATGTAGTCATTCTCCACATAAAAATTATATAATCCTCTGCAATAACTGGGATATGGGGCAGCACATCTGGTGTTGGCCTAAACACCACACACATTTGGATTTTTTTGTGAGCTTGAGTGCTTTCTTGCGCTCATAGACATAGGTAGGAATATTTAATTTAGTATTAAATTCCTGATGAAAATAGGTGAGCTACGAACACCTTAAATAAAATTAAAAGATGTTAGGGTAAAGTAGGAGATGCTTATTTTGTAGTAAATACAATTATCAAGTGATTAGTTTCACCCTAAGTAACCACAATCATGGAATAATGATATCATCCATCATGACAATTTTCAGTGAAAAGTATATCCTCCAGCTGCTTATTTTTCTTTTTTTTCCCCCTGTTCTCTAGTTTAGATTTGCATTAAACAATAAAAAATCCTACATCAATTTTCATGTCTGTAGCCAGACATCCACTTACTGAAAGCCCTGCCCCTTTCATCTTGCTCTGAACTGTGTTTCCACAGCCCAAAATAATGCTTCAAACTGATTCTGGGGGTGGGTTTACCTCAGAAACAAAACTGAGGGTGAGTTCATCACTAGGTTAACCTGTTCATGGTCTGCCTGGGGCCTGCATGAAAGGCTTCCCATGGAGCTCCCCCGAGTCCTAGGTGGTAATTGACACCTGAGATGTGCAGAGTCTGAATTTTTAAGTGCATGTTTGGTGTCTGCTGCACATCTCACGTATGAAGCAAAGCATGCCACGGACTCCCGAGATTTCACTGGATTTCCGAACATCCCTTGTCATCCTGGATCAATATGGTGACTGGGTTTTGCTGGTGCTTTTCCTATGTGTATATTTAGCCACCAAAACCAAGAGAAAACATCATATTTTCTGTTCCATTCGCTGCCATTATTTTTTTCTCATATTTTTTTGCAACTTTTGTAACCGGGTGTGTATAAATCGATCTCGCATTGATGTACGTGTTACGGAGTGGAGTGTTGTTTATCCAAACAGATTTGACAGCAGAAAAGTTCACACAGGGATGATGAAAAGGAATTAAATTTATAATTCTGTGCAGATGTACACCAGACAGAGTCAATATTTGTGCACACATACCCTGTATAAAGAGAGCTTGTAAGGAAGGAAGACTGTAGATCATAATCTGGTTCTGTCACCATATTGAAATATCTCACATTTAGACTGTGGCTCATATTAAGCATTTTCCATGTTCTATTTTGCTGCTTCAAACACTTACGGCATCATTCCATCAGACCAAATTTCTCATCCAGAACTTTACTCCAGAACATCTTTAAGCATTTTCCCTTTAGTGGGTGAGGAGCAATGAGGTTGAGGAAGGATTTTCAGCCTGTTTCTGAAGGTAATTCCACATGGATCTGCAGCAGGGATTGAGATTTATTCTAATATCAGTCCTCCATTCATTGGAATCACCCTTTAGACAGCTGGTACTTCCATCATCAAGAAAAGAAAATGAAAGGCCCCAAAAACTTGGCTACTGATTTTGAGCAGGATTTCTTTTTTTTTTATGTGTTTGGTACATGTTTAGGTTCAGGTTTTTTTAATTACTGTTTTGTCAGAAAAATCTACTTCTGCATCCTACTTCATAGACACTGTGAAGATGGTTCTGCAAAGCACTTAAGCCTGTTTGATTTTTAAATTTGATTTTTAAAGCCCTGGGGATGGGCTTAAATTCAAAGATTAATCATATATTGCTACCACTGTGCATTCATTATTAAAATCTCCCTCTGGAGAAGTTAGCTAGGAGCTATGACAGGACCATGGCAGAAGAATGCACTGCAGGGGAACTGAGGCTTAATTAATGCAGTGTAGCCACTGGAGAATATAAGATTTGCCTTAAATAAATCAAACAATGATTTTCATCATTTGTCACACACTACCAGGGCTTTACTCCCATTAAAAAAAAAAAAAAAAAATTTTCTCTAAGCAACCTGATTATTGTGTGCAACAGCCTTTGCTTTTAGGCTGACTAAAACTTGGAAACATGTTGCTAATTCCTAACAGTTTTCCTGGAATAGCCAAGTGCTTTGGTGGTTATCAACTTCCATTTTATCCACTTGTATGTTCAGTCATTCATCACCAGCCTCATTCCTCCCCATCCTTTCCTCATGCCTTTAGTTGCCCTCGGAGCTCTCTGCATGCTGCTGATCCCATCTCAGCCCGAGACCCCAAACACCCACCAGGTTCTGGGAGAGCAATCACTCCATCTTCCTTTCGCTGGTGTTTTCGAGAGAAACTCCTCTCTACAGCTGAAAATACGGGGGGCTAGAGTCATCAAAATGTCTAAGCAGCTGAGGTAGGAATTCAAAAAAGAGATAGAAGGCACCCCTTTAATGAGAATTTTAACTCTATTATTATTTTGGATTATTTTTCCAAGAAACTTTCATATTTCCTCACAATAGTCATCATAACCATTGGTTACTTTTTAGTGTGAGGAGTGCTGAAGATGTAAGATTTTTTTATTGAAACGTCTGGTTTCAGTTAACCTTGTGTCATTCTTGAATAATTCTGCCAAATTAAGCATCAAACTGAAGAAAGATCAGTAATGCAAATGCAATAGATTTTTATCTGGGGGAGAAGTTCTGAGATCCCCAGGTGGTGGGGAAGCATAAAGAGCTATTGATCGTATTCTTAGAGTAATTAAGACAGCTATTAACGCAGTTCAGGCAGGTTTCTCACCCCAGCTGGTGAAACAAACAGCAGTAATGTGCCATGATTACAGACGGACAGAAAATGGTTTGGGTTGGAAGGGGCCTTAAATTTATCCAGTGCCACCCCCTGCCATGGGCAGGGACACCTTCCATGGTCCCAGGTTGCTCCAAGCCCTGTCCAACCTGGCTTTGAACATTTCCAGGAACCCAGAGGCAGCCACAGCTTCCCTGGGTAGCCTGTGCCAGGGCCCCACCTCCCTAACAGTAAATAAGTTCTTCCTAATATCCAGTCTAACCCTACTGTGTTTCCATTTAAAGCCATTTCCCCTTTTGACATGTCCTGTTGAATCTTACAGAACAAATGACCATGTCCTGAATTGGTCCCTGTATTTTCCATCCAGATATTAACATGATTCCAATCAGAAAAAGAAAACCCTGAATTTTAGCAGTCTCCAACTGCAGTTTGTAAATATTTTGAAGAAGTAGGAGATTATTTAGGGATAGTTACCCCATATGCTGAAAGCCAAGGAGCACCACATCAGGAGTCCAAGAATTAAGTGGGATCTCCCAGTCCGGGGGATGGCAAACACATATTCACAACCCTACAATGGCTGGTTCAGCACTCAGAGCAGCACACCAGGCCCACATTGTTTGTATGGATTTATCATCTATCAGTTTCTTCCCTGGAATTTTAGGAAATGGATAATGAACTGATCTGGCAAGACTTCACTGTTTTGACCATGAAAAATCCAGCCAACAGCGTGTAACCTGGTATGCCAGAATCTGTTTTCAGATATCCTGGTTTTGGTCAAGTTGTTGTAGAGAGAGTATATCACCCCCCAGAAAGAAACCCATATTTCTACAGAAAAGCCTACACAAAGCTTAAATCAACGCTGTTATTTTCATAAGCATTGTTGCATTGCTGAAATATTCACTTTAGAGAGAAAATCATCAGCATCACTACCATAAAACACCACTATATTTAGTAGGTGCATGATGTAGATGCATGCTGGAATAAGCCATAAGATTAAGAAGACCCACACTTTTCCATCAAACCTTTGTTTCTTCATTCATTTTCAAGGATCAAGCACATATAACTGAAAAAAAAAAATCTTTTTATTTCATCATGATTTCCAGTTTATCACGACTGGTATAATTTGGGAGGGGGAAGCTTGTTTCTGCTTTTGCTTTGACAGATTCTTCATAAATTTTGTATCACATGTTGAAAGCTCAATGAAAAGAAAATAAACCCCACATATATATCTAGCTAATTCAGGTCTACGTCATTCCTCCAATCAGCATCTTGCTGGAAAGAAAGGAGAATCATGGCATATATCATAGGTAGGTATGATTTTACCCTTGGTGCGACCTAGAGGGTTAGGGCAGCAGAAGCAATGTTGCAGCCCAGATGTTTTGGTAAACAACACTCCTCTAAAATTCACCTCCAAAGTCACTGGACACGCAGTGATTCATTCTGCTACCGCTTTGTCTTGCTGCAAGTGCTCAGGCTGCCAGAGTTGATAATTATTGGCAGGACCTTGGTGCCAAAAGGCTCGTTTTTCTGACAAGCAAGTGGCAGATGTTGGATGGACAGTGTGGTGCTGTCAGCTGGGTGCTGGGACTCCCAACGAGCC